CATGCTGGAGAGGAAGGTAAGAAGTTCGATTATTTACTTTAAGGAACATGCTAATGGTCGAAGAAAAAGATGATAACAGAAATAGTTCAAAGCAATATGCTAATTTATTCGTCTATGGTTATGCATCTGATTATGTCTCCATTCTCTGCTCGTTCGAAATGCATTTCTTTAATATAAGTATAATAAACGTGGCGGATTGCATAGGGGCCCATTCCGATCCCGGTTCGGTCATTAGAGACGCGGTCATGAAAGATCTGCGGACAATCGTGGCATTTGGTAGCCAGGCGAATCTCCGGGATTAATCGGTCGCAGTCTATGCAGCGTTCGTGTTCCTGATTTACACCAACAGCTAGGTAATGGGTTCCAACATCGATGTAAAGCTCTCGGTGCAGGGGGTCAAGGGTTTTGGCACACTCTTCGCACAAAATCCAACCGACGTTTTTATGTTTGAGGAAGAAGGATATGCAGCAGCGAGCAGTACGAGCCCAGATTCGGTTTATCCCAGGGATGTCCTCAAATAATGGATGATGATCGGGCCAGCTATCGGAGGAGTTACTTAACTGATCTGACATAGCGAAAGCAGTAAGTATTCGGAGTGTCTGTAGGTAGAAAGGAATAAGCTTGTTTAACACATGTTTCTTTAGAGATAGGCATGATTAATAGCACGTGCGATATAGCATGCGAAGAGAAATAGTATGGAAATGTTAATTATTTCCTTATGTTACAGAGGACAGCAACGCCTGTGGCCGAGCGGAAAATCACGGGCGTTACCTCAGTGGGGAGCCGCTCCGACAAGTAGTGGAACGGTAGCGAGGTGAATTATTAACGTAGTATGACAACGCGGCGGTTAAGTGAATTCATATACTATGAACTACGTGTGAGTATCTAAGAAGTATCTGCTGTAAGAAATGATTATTCGACAATAGAATAAATGATGATAAAAATATAATCAGTTCGTTACGTTCAATTTATTATGTAAGGCAACGAAATGAATAGTATATATATATTTGTAAGTAAATATTGAGAATCATATGAACGTACTATCACTTTCTGAAATTACGTGCATGCAAAGAACATATGATTATTAATTAAGTGAGGTTTCGTACTTCCTTGTAAGATTTGAGAATATCTGTCTCTTATACACAT